AACCTCTGCTTTGTTGGCCTCATCTCCATGATTGACCCTCCCCGTGCTGCTGTTCCTGATGCTGTGGGCAAATGCCGAAGCGCTGGAATTAAGGTAGTGATTTGTCTGCAGGCCCCTGGCTTCTGGCTTCCGCCAGAATTTGTGGGGTGTCATTGCCTGTGAATTTGGCCAATAACGTCATAGCTTTCGTGAGTTTCTATGAAACTCATAGTTGTCATAGCTGTTTTTCTCAGTTGTCATCAGGACTAGTAGATGTTAAAAGAAAACAGAAAAATAACAAAAAAAACAAAAAAAAAACACCTGAGGGTGCAAACCTGAAGTACTGAGTATTTTTGTGTTTTCCTACTACACATGTAGTATCGTTATAGTTGAGCTATCGTTATAGTTGTGGAATCATCCTTAGCATCTTAACTGAAACTAATTGAGGTCTTTCTGCTTTCTAACAGGTCATCATGGTTACAGGAGACCACCCAATCACAGCCAAAGCCATTGCCAAAGGTGTGGGCATCATCTCAGAGGGCAATGAGACTGTGGAAGACATTGCTGCCCGCCTCAACATCCCAGTGAGCCAGGTGAACCCCAGGTATGGCACCAAGCTCAGCTCACAGACTGCCTCGACTGTGCCAGGACATAGTTTGAAATCTCTAGCTTCAGATTATTACATTAACACATGATGTACTGAAAATTTGTACTGTTAAAATTTGTAGAGCAAGAGTCATGTAATGGCTTTGATTCATGTATTTAGCCCCTTTTTATTTCATATACACCTTTCACGGGCAGTGATGATCCTTGTGCTGAAGTCATGGTTGACCTTTGGGGGTGTGTCTCCTCTCATTCTAGAGATGCCAAGGCCTGTGTGGTCCATGGAAGTGACCTGAAGGACATGAACGCTGAGCAGCTGGATGACATTCTCAAGTACCACACTGAGATTGTGTTTGCCAGAACCTCCCCTCAGCAGAAACTCATCATCGTGGAGGGCTGCCAGCGCCAGGTCAGTTGCCTTCAGGGCGTCCCAGCCACTAGTGAAAACAGCAGTGAGGGAAATACCACACACATAGGCCAAAAGGCCAAACTTTTCCCCAGGGGTGACGAAGGCTACCTTGTTCGAATTTAGTGGAGTACAAGGCACTTTTGCAATCTAGGTCATGGGCAGACTTGTGAATGATGGGGAGAATAAGCTAGGTGTCTAACCTGTCTCCCTTTCTCCTCCAAGGGTGCCATTGTGGCTGTAACTGGTGATGGTGTGAATGACTCTCCAGCATTGAAGAAGGCAGACATCGGGGTTGCCATGGGAATTGCTGGCTCAGATGTGTCTAAACAAGCTGCTGACATGATTCTTTTAGATGACAACTTTGCTTCAATTGTGACTGGAGTTGAGGAAGGTAAGTGCAGCACCTTGACAGTGCTCACAAAAAACCACACATACTACTGGATGTATTCATCTGTTTGCTTCTTCAGATGTATAATACAAGAATCTTGCTTTCATAGGTCGTCTGATCTTTGATAACTTGAAGAAATCCATTGCCTATACCCTCACCAGTAACATTCCTGAGATCACCCCCTTCCTGATATTTATTATTGCAAACATTCCACTCCCACTGGGGACCGTCACCATCCTCTGCATTGATTTGGGCACTGACATGGTAAGTACGTCTTCCACATAAATAATATGAAGGTGGGGGCCATGGCTGTAACACTGGTGTTAACGGCTTTGCTTTCCCTCAGGTTCCTGCCATCTCTCTGGCATACGAGCAAGCTGAGAGTGATATCATGAAGAGACAGCCCAGAAATCCCAAAACAGACAAACTGGTGAATGAGAGGCTCATCAGTATGGCCTATGGACAGATTGGTAAGTTGCTGTGCTTAGTCCTTGACCTTTGCAGTCAATAAAGGAATTGACAGATGAAATTCTGCCATGAGGAATTTAGGGTGTAGATTGAACAGGGGAAAAGAATCTTGGAAGTGGGTGGAAGTTGGATTGAAAGGTGTTGGATTAGAAGACCTCTATCCTGCCCACAGGCCTTCTGCAGCAATCAGATTAAGTTACTTCTCCCACTTGTTAGGTATGATCCAGGCGCTGGGAGGCTTCTTCACTTATTTTGTGATTCTGGCTGAGAATGGCTTCCTCCCCTTTGACCTCCTGGGCATCCGAATGGACTGGGATGACCGCTGGGTCAACGATTTGGAAGACAGCTACGGGCAGCAGTGGGTGAGTGAGAGCCTCTCTATGCCTGCTTGGTGTCAGCTCTGCAAGCCGTGCAGGCAGGGAGCAAGGGCTCATGCGTGTGTGTTCTGGGTTTCAGACATACGAGCAGAGGAAAATCGTGGAGTTTACCTGCCACACTGCCTTCTTTGTCAGCATTGTGGTGGTGCAGTGGGCTGATCTGATCATCTGCAAGACCAGAAGGAATTCTGTCTTCCAGCAGGGGATGAAGTGAGTAATGGCTCTCCACTTTGCAGCTCAAAGAAGGGATCTATCTGGTTTTCAAACCCTTTGCAGAAAGCCTAACTCCGCACAAGTGTTTTAAGAGCAATTTAGGAAACAAAATTTCACTGTTCTGTTTGAATTTTATACATTTTTAACTTCTTAATTTTAGGAACAAGATCTTAATATTTGGCCTCTTTGAAGAGACGGCCCTTGCTGCTTTCCTTTCCTACTGCCCTGGCATGGGAGTGGCCCTGAGGATGTATCCCCTCAAACCTACCTGGTGGTTCTGTGCCTTCCCTTACTCACTTCTCATCTTCGTGTATGATGAAGTCAGAAAGCTCATCATCAGGCGAAGCCCTGGCGGTAAGTGCTCTCATGGTTACTTGGGAGGGGCAAGGAGTCCCCCGGGCAGTGCTGTTCTGGGTCGTGTTTCCCTTAGCCCGGCTCCTTCAGTGGTTGGTCTAATGGGAAATGTCATTAGACTGGTGGGCTGTCAACTAACTAATCAGCTGAAATGCTGAGTGCATTGCATTTTTGGTCTCTTGGAGAACCTGTTGCATTTTAAACGATCAGGTGGGGTCCTTTGCATTTGGGGATATGCTCCCTGCCCTGCCGACATGGGCTCTCGCCCTGTATGCCCCTGCCCCTCTGCCAGAGCCTCACTGCACGGTGTGCTTCTCTCCTCAGGCTGGGTGGAGAAGGAAACTTACTACTAGTCCCCCGTCCTGCACGCCGTGGAGCATCATACCACATTCTGCATCCATCACCCACCCACCCCACTTTGTGTACTTCAGTCTTGGAATTCGGAACCTAGTAGGAAAGCACCGAAGCATGTGGGGGAAGTGAGGCATCCCAGAATGAAGCATGTAGATATATGGGGGGAGGGGGGAGGGCTGCCTGAAAATCATCCGTCTGTGGGAAAGGTTTTTATGTGCCTTTTTGTTTTTGTAAAAAAGGAAAACCTGGAAAGACTGACTACATTTTATATCTGGATTTTTACAAATAAAGATGGCTGTTATAATGGAATTGTCCTTGTGTCTGCATCACTTCATTGGGATGGAGATGGCTGGGATTTAGAGCTGTAGTTCTTGCCTATTAGACTGGATCTCGGTCCAGTCGGACCTACTGAGGCAGAACCTGGAAGCAGAACTGTCTGTGAGCACTCCTGGTGATTCTGTTTGCCCTTGTGTGAAAACCCTTGGGTGAGAGGAAACTGAGTGGAGGAGCTCATCTGGCCCCTTATTTGTGTGCTGCTTGTGAGCCTACTACTTGAAGGAAAATGTGTCAGGAAGAGATGGGCTTCACCTCTATAATAGCCTGCAGTGACTCCAGAACCTGGTTTGTCTCCAGAAATCTCCAGCAATCTTTCAGGTCATGTGTGTGCATTTAAAAGTGGTTCCCTTCTATACAACTTGTTCCAAATATAGCTTCAAATAGCACCATGGTGCCCTCTGGCTCCATAGTGCCCGATGTCCTCGCACATCGCCAGGGAAGGCTGGAGGAGCTGGCTGCCTGACATTTCCTGGTCTCCTCAGCAGTTCAGCAGTTCTTCCTCTGGGCTGTGCTCCAAGCCGTGGCCACCTTCTGGTGCTTGGGCTAACATGGCCAAAGCTTCTCAGAGGCTGTGCACTGTCTCTACCCCACCTCCTCATGCCTGCTCACTGCCCCCGGAGAAGGGGGACTGTCAGCATGCTGTGGTAATGATGGCTGTGGGTATTCCCTGATGGGATAATGCAGCATGAGACCTTGGACTTCAGAGGGAACCCCAGACATCCAAGACAGGCCAAGGTTCTGGAATACTGGTTTATGAACTTAGGCTTCAAGGTGACACCCCCTGGTGGGGTGAGGGGGGCAGGGTGCAAGACATGCTATGAACCTCTCCTATTTTCCTTACTCAAAAAGTAGTGAAGCAGTTCCCATTTCACCACAGGCAAACGGGAAAGGGCTTTTCAAGTTTGTTTAACATTGCCAAGTGTGTGCTGGGGTTCATTTCCTCTTCACACAATCTATCCCTGTCCGCTTGAATCACTGCAGAACAATAACGACAGTTCAGAGAGACAATTGGTGCTTCTGTCCGTACCCTTAGACCTGCACCCGTCCTGGTCACCCGTTTTAGCCCCCTCCTGAGGCCTTGGATCAGACTGTTGCCCTTTGACTCCCACAGTATCTGAGTGCTCAAGGGTTATTTTCCTTCCTTCATTTAAGTTCTCTCCATCTCTTAGACTTTCCGTCACCTTTCTCCAGCTGTCAGCCAGCCTTTTCTTCCTACAAGATTCTAAGAAGAGTTAATGTCCCCTCTGCTTGCTCACCTCAACCATCTCAGCTTCCTTCAGTCTGGCTCCTGTTAACACCCCTTCAGCACAGCTGCCCAGGCCAAGGACACCCCTGGCCTCCAGATGGTTCAGTCCAGCAGGGACTACCTATCCTCCCTCAGCCTCACCATTGAGCGGACTCTTGGATCTCGCCTTTTATCTCTCATCTACTTGAGAGGTCCTTACCTTCTCTCCCTCCTTCATACTTCACCTGCACTGTTTTTCTCCTAGCCCTAGGCCCATCGTTCAGCCTGCCTGCTAGATAGTATATGCAACTAACGTTAGAATCAACTCTTCTCTACCTTCCTCCCTGCCTCACCCCAGGGCCCATTGCCAAACCAGAAACCTGGAAGCCATGTGAGACTCCCTTGTCTGGCTGGGTCCTGCCACCACTACCCAGTCACAGGTGATATGAGCACATCACTGAACCTCTTTGCATTAGATAGAGAATCTTTACCAGAACAAATCACCAGGCATTTTCTACCATAAAGCCACTGCTGAGTTTGAACTAACACCCTTCCAATTACATTTCAAGCGCTTGGACCTTTGACACTAAAACTCTAGTAATTTTAAGTGCTTATTAATAGCACTTGTATTACTCTTTTTCAGTGCCATTGTTTAAACCATCTTCCAAGCTCCTTGCTCCCTCCCTCCACCATCCGGGTGTCTTCTATCCCAGTATAGAAACCCATCTCTGCCATTTCAGCTCTTATACAGCCTCCTCATGTCTGACATTTTACCTTCGCCTTGAACTGTTGTGTCTTGGATCCAGGCTGAGCATTTCTTTCAGCTAAGGCAAGCCCAGGCTGGCCAGCCATCTATGAGTAAGGACCTCTTTTGCCACCCCTTGTCTTTGGAGGTGGAGTACGCATGAGACTGGGATGTCATGAAGTTAAGCGGAACCTGGCAAGCAAAGGCGGTGGTGCTATTGTCATGTGCCTTCGAATCCATAAGCAAAGGTGGTGGAGGTTAAATAAAGAGGAGGGAGGCTGGTTCCTGCACCTGCCTGAGTTCAGGGCTTTTCAGTCCGTCTTGAGCCTCAAATTAACTCATGTTGTGTGACCCATCGCTGACCCTCCAGCAGATTTCCAGAGGCAGTATTCAAACTGTGTCTTTGGGATTGCAGCACAGCTTCTTACTACTCCCCTATTTGACGTTCAATACTTTCTAATGAATTAATTTTACTGCTGTTAATAGTTTAAAATTCCCCGCCCCCCCTCAGCTAACTTGTAAGCTTTCTGGGGCAAGGAACATCTCTCTCTTTCCCCCCTCCCTTATCCTCAGTATTTTACAAAGATGTTTCAGCATGTAGCCCATGCTACAGAAAGGCCAAAGGACTTTTCATGAATCTTCTATTTCTAACAAGTTAGCCTATTTGCTACCCTCTGGCAACAAACCCCAACAGTCTAGATGTTCTCAGGGTGATAGTGCCTTGTGGTTGGGCTTGGGGTGGGCTGTGGGCTGCCCATCCAGGAGGAAATGTTTCTTTTTCACTCCCTGTTCTTACCCTTTCTACCTATAGAGAAAGGGGGGTAGTTTTGGGAATCCAGGTTCCTCAGCTTATTAGGTAGGATGTTTGGGCAAGCTACTTAATTCCTTCAAGCCTCTTAAATGAAGATGACTGCTGTGTCTACGCTGGCAGGCCATTGTAAGAATTAAACAGAGTGAAATATAAAAAGTGAGTGTTTGGGTGCTTCTTCAGCAGGGATCACAAAGAAGTAACTCACTCTCTACCCCTGCCCACATCCACATCCCCACCCTCGCTGGATTCTAGGTGTGCCCTGAAGATAAACTAGGGGTGAATGGTGGGTGTTTCCATGTAATGGAAAGAGCTACTTAGTGTACAGCAACTGTCAATACCAGGCAGTGTCCTAAACCACAGCCATTTTACTAACAAGAAGTGAAATTACTTGCTCAGAATCACACAGCTAATAGGCAGCAGAAGCGACTGAGCTGGCCTTGAACCCAGACATTTGATTCAGAGACTAGACTCCTAACCATTTTGTCCCTGGCAAATGAAAGTGTGGGAAAATGTTGGTTGTTGTGGTAGAAAGCTAGTTCTGGGACCAAGAATGGGAGAAGGGCAATGTTTTTATTAAAAACAAAAAGCAAGGGAAGTCAGAGCTGGTGTTAAAACATAAGAGCATGGAAAGTTTCCTGGATATTAAGCACACGCTCTTGAACAGTTAGTCAAATGGATTTGCCCCCAGGAGCTGCTGGTGATCAAGCTGCAACTTGCGTAACTGGGAGGCTTGAAGGCAGCTGCTCTAATCCTAGGCAAACTCTGGGCTGCCTCTCCCGTTAGGCTAATGGGCAGATCCGCTTCCCAAACTCTGGCTACCTGTGGACAGGACTGTAGGCCCCACAGGCTGAAAGGCAGGCCCTGCAGCCCTCATCTCCTGCAGGCTGTGGACCCACCCTCTGCGTTAATGAAGGCTATTCAGGCATCAGGTTTTAATTGCCCTTCTCGCCCTCTGTGCTATAAAAGGCAAGTTCCTTTCTTGCCCAAATTTAGGATTCTGACTCACTGTAGTTAATTTATGCATAAGAAAGTAGAACTGTTTTAAAGGTTCTTGGGCAACGTGAAGAATCTTGGTAGTATGAATAATTGCTCCATTTAAAACTAGTGGTTACAGTTTTTTACATTTCCCTTAAAATGACAAACATATGTAGACATTATTGCCAACTAAATATTGTCCCGGAATGTAATTCTATCCTTTACTACAATGAGAGTCTTCTGTGTGTGGGTTTTCTCCCAAAGAGGAGCCAGCAAGCACAATGCTCGCGGGCAGTGCTTCAGCCCACATGTGGTGTCGGGAGGAGCGGGAGTGCTTGGTGATCCTTCCAGCTCCCTGAGGTGCGAACACGGCAGTGCTGCTACAGGGAAGGGACCGACAGGCACTCCACACACATGCTTACAGCACTGCCTTTGGAACATCATTTTTATTTCTTTTAATCCTATCAGGTATATTTCATTCCCACTTAACAGAAGAGAAACTGAGGTTCAGAGAGGTGGTGGTGGTTATGCACCATCGGGTCAGAAACCTCTCAATGCTGACAGTCCAGTGGGTTTTCAGAGCCTATACATCATGTGGGAAGAGAGTCATTCTTGGAGCAATTGGTTGAGTTGAACCCATTGCCTTTTTTAAAAAATATTTTAATTTATTTATGTTTCATTTCAGTGAACATCTACAGAGATTTTGAATCAGAGATTTTGGAATTCCATTCATTCATTGTTGCACCCTTCTCCCCGCCCCCCCCGTTTGCTCCTCTCCTTGAAAAGCAAAAGAAAAACTCCCTCATTGGTACACAACCCCCACCCCCCCCCCCCTCCCCCAATCCCACCCCCAACCCCAAATATAATCCACTCTGCAACCCTCACCTCATTGCATACTGCTGGCAGCACAACTCTTTACCCACTCGCTAGGCCATCAGAGGTGGTAAGCAGCTGAGGAAAAGTTTGAATGCAGGTCTGCAAATTGCAGGAGATATATATAGATACATATAGATAGATAGAGATAGAGATAGATATATACATATATGTATATACTTCAGCTAAGGTCAAAAGTGCCCTATGCTGTTATTTTTCGTTTTCATTCACCATACTTGCTCTAAAGTCAGAAGCTCCCCCACACCGGCAAAGGCACATGACAAATTGTAATTGTGTGTCTGTACATACACACATCAGTCAAGGCACATGGCTTCCAGCAGAGC